GAGGTTCCTTGAACAGTTCCACGTCAATGGGACATTCAATGAGCCGTCTCAATTTCTGAAAAGGGTGCAAAAACGGGAAAAATATGATAGTTTGCTTCTACGAACAGGCAGTAGTTTGAGCTGAGGAACATCAGAACTGTGACATTGGTCAAGCACTGAAAAAAAAAACGGTTGCAGTATGTAACCTATCCCTTGACAACAGAACTTGGGACGATCAACTGACGCCAACTAGAATGTATTCGTCTAACCTATTCCGCAAAATGGCCTTTTTGCACACAGAGTAGGATAATTATTAATTTAATCAGTCCAAATGTTTACAACTTTGGTCGGAAGTCCATATTTCCTTGTATTCCAGCAGCTTTCTGCGCTTACTTTGCGCACCGCAAGTGTTTGTCCGTGAGAAGAGAGTAATCTAAACTCGGGATTTTTTCCAAACGGAACTGTTCGCCCTCGGAAAATGACATCTTTTCTCCCCATAAATCAGACAAAGTGCAACCAAGTGGGTTATTTTTAGGAACTGTTAGAACGGCTGTCCCGCCTGACAAATAGCCGCTAACCTGCATATCAGTCTCACGTAGCAAGCCAGCGCATGAGTCAGCCCTATTAGTGCGCCACCGAGATGTCTGCGACCTTTAGGGTGAGAATCTGATCATACGGATGGAAAACATACGCCAGACAAGGGCATGACTCTTAAATACAACGCCGCGGACGGAGGAGTGGAGAGATAGCGTACAAGCAGTAACTGTCACGGTAAAGCTATCCTGTCCACAAAGCAAGTGGCGTCATAATACTGAGGAGCATAACAAGTAAAGACGCAGTTTAACACGCACAATGGTCAGTCAAGAACAAGTACAAAGTTTTGGAATCACAGCCAGCCAGTTTCATGGCTCTTCTCGTGAGGCTGCAGAAAGACTGTGAACGGACAGGTAGTGACGACAGAAGGAAATGGCTGAAGGGCAGGATCACAGAATCTACCTATGAACCTTTTTAATATGTGGTTCAGAAAATGTGAATTATTTTTTTAGTGAGAGGAAAGGGCAAAGTCTTGCCAACTTAGAAAAGGTAGGAATCCTGCTGTTGAAATTTTGACGAATGGAACACGATAAGTAAGTCTACTTCGTCTTGCCGAAGAAACCAGTCGGAATCTTATTCGCGGAAACGGTCATCAGCCTGAAACTCTTGTTTGGCTATTGAAAATTCTTAGTCAAGACGTAAAGATGATGATAAAGACAAAAAGTGTCCACTTCTAGTCCCTGCGGCTGTGATTATGTCTAATGTAGCCGGCCATGCCAACTGACGTTTATGCCAGACCACGCTATCAACCCAGTGTGTTTTGCGTGTTAGTGGCTGAACAGTGGACTGGGAGCCAGACGGCGACGGTTGTGGTAATCCTGCTGTGTCAAGGGGACCAGGTCGTGATGTGGCGCGCGTAGACGGGTTCGCAGGCCCTGTCCGTCACTGAGTCTACCCTGCATAAGGCAACTAACCGGTTTGGACAGTGGCCTAATGCTGGCGATGAGGGAGAGAGCAAGGTCAACGGCTCAGCCCACTTTACTCCCTGACGCTTGAAGCTATCACGGTGTGGTAAAAGCCGTGACTTGGAAGATTGCCAACTGGCGGGATAACTCGGACCGCGTGGTCAGCCCAGTTCGTACTGCGCTGTAGGGAGTGGCTGACTGAGAGTCAGGCTGCAATGACTCCTTCTTAGTGTATCATTTACGGCACTTCCTTTCAGCTAGAATTCGAGCCGCCCCAACCTTCCTGTGGCTTTCTCCCATCTCCAGACTTCTTGAGTCTGTCTTGATACCGGCCCCAGGTGGGGAAATAGAATAGGGAATGAGGTAGGTGCAGAGAAAGTCTACTCTCACTGTAATTCGGCGCAAGTCACCGTCCCTGCATTATTTATTATAAAATTGGCACTTTTAACATAGGCACGTACCTATAGCAGCAGTATCTTAGTCCGTATAGCTTGGTGAATAGAGTTGAATGAGTGGAAACCAAGGCAAGCTATGCTGTGCTCAGGGCCCCAAACATGTACTCGAAATAGTTAAAACTAAGATTCACTCGCTTTCCTGAGATCAAGGGGGTATGAGCCCTAACGTTAGCTTAATCAGCGTGACCTCCGACAAATGATAGCGCCAGTGCTAGCACCAGTACTACTACACTCTCTGTTGAGACTGAGGGGATATGAGCCCAGTGCTGACTTTAATCAGCGTCGTTTCTGACTTACAATATTGTCAGTAATAGTACCGGTAAATATTATCACCCAGCCACACCCTAGTTAGTAGTACTAGAAATAGCAGTAGTGGTAGTAGCAGTACCAGCCCTGGCTTAATAGAAGCTGGCTCGACACCTACTATAGGTGAGTGAGGGGAGGCAGTGCAGTAGTACCCGCGCAAAGTTTACTGTCACTTAATACTAAGTTTAGGCGGTGTTTCTGGCTGTATCTGGGGAAAGCGGCTTACGCCTGATTCCTGCTCGATCATCTGTTTCTGGTGATGAATCCGCGACGGATGTCGAAACGTCAGGCGAATAAAAGTATTGTCCCAGCGCTCCAGTTGTCTTCTTCTCAATTACTTCCTGGGGCTCGCATGTTCACTTGTATTGGCAATATCCTTATAATGTTGTCGTAGAGAGTAATGTCTGTTTCATTTGCGATGAAGCAGCTGGCCTCCCCAGTCAGGCAACGGTAACCAACCTTCTCGAATTTCCGCTCGTTTTTAAAGCGCGTAGCCCAGCATTCACAGGTGCACAGAAGCACTGACTGAACGGATATCCAACACACTCGGATCTTTTAGGCACAATGGAGATATCGCATCAGGCCCACTATCAGATCACTAAGCGTTGCAAAAACCCGGCAAGCA